AGCAGCCCTCCTCGGTGTCGGCGGCGAGTCAGGTGTAACGAGCCTCAGCTGCGGTGCAAGTTGGTTGTGACAAACGCTTGGGGCAATTCTGAGTCGGCGCAGAGCTCGGGAAGAAATCAGAGGTTTGCTATGGCTGGCTTGCACGCTGTGAGTCTTCATGCCATCAGGCTCGCTGGCTCTGCCCTCCCCCGAGGGCTTTAAACAGTGCAAATTTCTCAGGTTTCTATTAGACTTTAAAATGAGAGTGTTAGCTTACAGGTAATGTTGAGAAAACCTCCAAGGATGATCTTCTCTGTCATTACATTACTCCGCACAATATCAGCAGTGGATCTGTAACTGGCATTTTATAGCTTGTCTTGTTGAGCTAAAAAAAAAAGAAAAGTCTTTTCAAGGAAAGAAGAGAATAGCTGATTTATATAATACAGATATATGTGAACTACTGGGGAAAGTTTTTTGTTACATTATTTGAGGTCCTGCCTGACTGCTGGCTAGCACTGAGCCCTGCTCCAAGAGCATAGTGCTCTGTGACATCACCCATTTCTCTCTTAGTGATGACTGAAAATAGCTGTTGGAGAAATGCATCCAACCACTTCTGGTGCCATTTGAGGTATTTGGAAGGGCAGATGCTGCTGTTGTTTGATGCATTCACTTGTTTCACATATGTACATATGCATGCATAGACAGTTATCTGGCTTTGATTCATTAGAAGCACTTAGTTGTTTTTAAGACAGTTTAATTTTTGAGAATTTTTATAGCCAAAATTACAGGTTTTTTCACGTTTTGAAATTGGGACCAGCTTATTGTTACAGACTTGCGAATATTTTGGTATTGAGTACATATCTATGTAAAAGATTCCTTTAAAATTAATGTTTCTGTGCTGGCTTTTCAGGGTGAATTGTTAAATCCCTGCCGCTGCGATGGGTCAGTACGATACACACATCAGCTTTGCCTGTTAAAGTGGATAAGTGAAAGAGGGTCATGGACCTGTGAACTCTGCTGTTACAGATACCATGTTATAGCAATTAAAATGAAGAAGCCTTGCCAGGTAATCTGTTTGTTCATTTGTTTTTAAAAAATATGTCTTTCCAGTAGTTTTTAAAAACAAAGGGGTATTTATGTTTGTTTCGAGGTTTTTGGAAAATACAGTGGAACAGCCTGTATGCTTTACCAGTTAGCAATTGCACCCACTTAAAGTTAGTTTTTAAGACCAGTTACATATTAAAACGTGCAGTAATTTGATTCTGTTATGTTCTTCTAGCTTTTGGATTGCCATAGAAATGGTCTTCAGAGATTGTTAAATTCTGTAATTAGATAAGTCATACTAAGACATGACAGAACTTGGATCTCCCTGATTCACTTTCTAAACCTTGAACATGTTGTTATAATTTGTTAAAGACTCAGTCAGAGGTTGATTTCATTCATTCATTCTTCAAGCTTGGGGTCCAGAGGAGAGAGGCAGAGAAAACTTCTGTTGCCTGTGTATTCACCTACTGTAGAAAAGTAAAGGAGGTGACTTTTCAGTCACAATCCAGAGTAGCAGAACTCTTTTTAAAGTTTTGTCCACCAATAGCTGTTTCAGAGGCTGAAATGCACAGTAACATTTTTCACAGCTCCCTTCTATCAACATCACAGCATGCAGCTGGAAGTTAGAATATTATAGTGGTAGCATGTTCATGGAGAGGGGAGGGGAAACTCAGAGCTTTAGCAGATCTGTTAGGTAAGCCTTAATACCACTTTGCATATCAGAATTCTTCAGAGGCTTAAAATTCCGTCCTATAAATTGTGTTTCATACATCTGAGGAATGCATTTAGTGAGATAATTGTATCTTTTTTTAGTTTTGATCCTATGAGCTCAGAGATGATGGAGCTCTCAAAGGCCAGAGCACTCGGGTCATTTTTCTGTGCCTGAGTTTGATTGGAGTTATATAGAAAAGACATGCTTGGATGGTATTGGCAGCTGTGTGAGTGTGATAAGTATCCTTGGATGTAGGATATCTGGAGTATTTGCTTAAAGCTGTTCAGATTAGGTGCAAGTAGTTTCAGAGCCAGTTGTGACTTCAGGTTTTTTCTTTATGAATCCACAAAGGGAACGTTCTGATAAGCTTTTCTGGATAGAACCTTTATGATGTAAAGTCATGTCTTTGTAAAATGCTTCAGAAAATGAAGGTGGTAGATTCTGTTTCTATGGTTTGGGATGGGATTCTGTTTGATCCTTTTGGCTTTTTCTAACCTTTAAAAAAATCTTTATTTCCTGTATATCCACAGAAATCTCATCCTTTTCCTAGTAAAGGTTATATCATTATCAACAGTTTGCAATGATAGTCTCTGAAGATAGTTGTTTGACAGCAAGGACATGGCACAGTTGTCTGCAGAGAGGCATCTAGTACTATTTGAAATGTCCCAAGGTAGCCAAAATATATAAAAAGGATAGCAGGTATGAAACAACTTAAGAGAGATTTTGGAAGTGCAACCGGAGGCCAAGTGGGATATTGAAGGACATCTGAAATATCAGACATTTCTGTGGACAACAGAATCAAGATCCAGATTGAAGAACAACTGTTCTCAGTGGAAAACAGAAGCAAAGAAGAAAGAAAGTGTCAGTGGTGACTTGAGAGACAGCAATGTTTGGCCAGGCTACAAGTAAAATATAAAGAAAATGAAGAGCCGAAAGTTAAATGCCATTCTCTTCATGAGTTATGCCACTTTTTTTTTTTTGGAGGGGGAGAGGGCGGAACTAGATTCATGTTTCTCCTTTGATAGCTTAAAATATATTTGATTTTTTCTTAACCCTGTGTTTAATTTTTAATGTAAATTATTTAATTCTATCCTTTTTTTATTCTTGACAAAATAGCATAGAAAAAGATTTCATTGAGTTGCGTGCTCAATAAGTTAGACATACATTCCTAGGGTCAAACTCCTGACACCCTAAAGGTCACACATCTCTTTGTAGAGATACAGTAGTTCCTTTCTTATTCTCCTACACTGATTTTTCCTCTTGGAGTTACAGCATCTAAAAGGAACTCTTAAAACTGTAGTTATCTGTGTATTTTTAAAAGGGTGGTCAGTCTTAAAAAGCCCTCACTCTTCTCCCGTACTCGTGACTATAATAGTATTGGCCATTTCAAACTGCTGTCTTGGTTTAAGCATTTGGACAGGTTCTGAATCATTTGCCTGACTACGCAAAAGCCCTTTTTAAGGTAAATTTTCAGTCAGGTTTGATAAAAAGCTAAGGGCTAGACTGTTTCAATAGAGACATAGTTTACAACATCTGCATTGAGGTAGCTAATGTACTTGAAAGTTCCCAAGCAAGCAAGACTTCTTGCATTACATGAGATAGAACATTTGGATGGGAGTAGTTCCCTCTCTACAGCTCGTAGTCTGCCTCAGTCCATGTTTGCAGAAATCTCTTTCCAGTTTTTTACTTATTAGATCTGTGTAGGCAGTGTCATAAGAGAGAAAAAGGTACTATTTACCAAAATAACTTTTTCTCATGTGAAATTGTCTATGCAGATTTACACTAGCTTCTCAGGCTTAGTTTTACCCCGGGTATTTATGGAAAGTCAAAATGCTCAGAGAGTTGAAAAGTAGGAGAGTTTTCTATGTTTTCTTCCAGAACATTGGAATAGATGTGAATATTCCATTTAATATCTAACATTTTCTGTGGTTTCTGTTGCTTCATGGCAGGGAAAGTAATCCCAAAGGGGGGCCTCTTTGCAGGCAGTACATTCAAGGAACAAAATTTGCTATGGTAAGTGACTATTCCAATAGAAATTTTTCCAGTGTCACTTTGTGTGTTTCAGTGACTACTACTTAGTTCACTTTTAGAGAACTCAATTCTGGAAACACATAGACTTTTAATATAGGAATAGATCTTAAAACATAAAAATTAACAGTGGTAGATGAGCACACAAACAAATTGGCGATGTTTTATACAGTCTTTCACAGAGAAATGCAAATTTGGATTTTTTTTCCAATATCATGAGGATCATATCAGAAAGACATATTTAACCTTGCACTAGTACATTGGTGAAAGCACTTGTTCGTGTTGCTGGGCTTGCTTCTTATGACAGGGTGGAATTTGATCCAATAATAGGCAAGGTTATAGAAATAAGTAGGGAAAAAAAATAAACTATAATGAGAAGAGGTCAAATACTTATTTGGACTGGGAGTTTTTGAAGATTTTTGAAACAACTTAAAACAAGGGAGAAATTTTAAATATCTGATTTGGAATTAAACCCACTTAGAATTACATTTTATATTAGCAAAGAGAAAGCACAAGCAGAAATAATTTTATATTGGTTTTTAAAGTTTTATAATACAGATTTCCTTCCTAAAGGAAATATAAACAGAGTGCTTTATTTTTTTATTTGTGCTATGTAATTATTAAGCTATTAGCAAGTTATTTCACTAGAGTGGCAGTGAGACATGAACGTATATTGAAGAATGTAAATTATCTTGTAAGATTCAGAAATAATGTTTAAAAATTAAATATAGTCATGCAAATTTTAAGAAAATATACTTTGGTGCTAAACCCCATCATTTCTATACAAGCGAGCAATAAAAATATTTAGAGAATAGCCTTTTCTAGACTGTTACTGTAGTCTGTCAAAACATAGTATTATGTTAGATGTTTAATCTACCCTGTGCTTCTGTTCATTAAAACATATTGTGGTATTTTAGGTGAACTAGACCTATTCCAAAAGTGATAGAGTAGATTAATGCGCTAATTTAAAAGCTAATTGCATGGCATTTCAGCACGTTTTCTGACATCAGGGAAATCACAAAACAGTTATTTTAAATAGTAAATTCTTAGTTGTTAGGACTGATTTATTAACATATAGCTGAAAAAATTAAGGTTGTACTTAGTGTTATTTAGGCAAGTATGTGGATACTGGAAGTGCACTGTGGCTCATGAGTTCTGTGGTTTTCAGTGGCCCAAATTGTGGTTATTAACTTTTGAGATATTCAGTATAGAAATTACTATGTTCAGCAGTTTTTGTGAGTTTCAGGTTCAGTTTTTCACTGCTAATGTGAGTAGTCCTCACTCATTTGAGTAATCTCACTGGCACCAATAAGATTAGTATGAGCAAGACTTTTTAGCAGACTGCATGTATGTATGTGCATAAAGCCGGAAAGTCACATTTTTCAGATGCTTCAAATGGAGGCCAGTGTCCAGAAAAAATGTGTATTAAATGTTTAGTAAAAGTTATTGCTAATGACTATGCTCAGCTGGATGAAAGCATTTACTTTTTGTATGCATAAGTAAGAAGGGGAAAGGGAGAAGGCTCAAATCTCCTGTTGTGCTTTTTAAACTACACTGCGTACTAACAGCAATCTACATCACGGGCTGCTGTTACACCGCCTGCAGTGATGATCCAGGAGGGTTCATTGTGCTTTTCACTGTGTCATCACAAAGGAAGAACAAAAAGGATTGTCCCAATCTTGGACAATTTACAAAGAAGTTTGAACAAGAGATAGAGGACGAATCTATGGGGATTTATAAAACCAGTGGTCTTTGTACACTAACCATTTTTAATTATCATTGAGTTTCTGGAATCTCAAATGGGTTGAGTTTTAAGATGCCTCTTGAAAAGAAAATAATGAAGCTTTGCAGGCACCCTTTGAATGTGAAGACAGTATGGAAGGGCTGTTAGAAAGTAAAATACTTAGCTGAGATAGGTATCATGAACTGACCAGAGATGAGATTCTATGTCTGAGTAGTCATTAAAGGTAATTAGTATGTCAGTAAAAACCTGGAAGGACTTCAAAAATGAAGGTTTTTTTAATTTGATGTGATGAGAAAGAGAGGACCCAGCATAGCAGAGAAAGAAGGGCAGTTACATGGTCAAAGTGGTGGACTAAAAAAATTGTATCTGAAGCAGTCTTGTGGTCACTGAGAAAATTACATTTGTCATGAGCTTAAAAGCTGTCTTACAGTAATTGAGAAATAAGATGAAAGTGATAATGAGAAATTAAATTTTCATATATGAATAATCTTAGATATGTCACATAGAAAGCACCTGCAGGTTTTAGAAATATTTTGAG